GGAATTGTACATATATTGGAAAAATTCATTTGGTTAATAAATTGATTGGGTTTGTCCATTGGTATGGACAGAGGTAAGTGGTTTTAACCATATATTCTTCAACCAAATAAAATTCATCTTGCCAAAGAAAATCTAGTGGTTTCCCTATAGACAAGTGTGAGCTAGAGGGAGTCCCCAAACTAGGTTAGTTAATATAGCCAAAAGCCATTTTATTGCTCTTGAATGTGACCTAGGTTGTTTGCTGATTCCAATAGCAGCACCTGAGCTTCAGAATTTCCAGAGCCTACTGGTTATGGAGGCCATGAAATGGTCTAGATAGCTTCTCTAAGTCCCATTGGTCATAGGAGTCTGAGATTTCAGTGACTTGCTTGCACCACCTCTAGTACTGAGAAGAGTGCTTTTGAAATGTTATCAGGAATGAAGTTGGAATGAGATGTCTGCTATGGTTCTCAAAATACCAAGGAAGATATGTTACGCTTTCTCGGCCCAACAAGAGATAGTTAATCTCTTAAAGAACATGTTTTGTTATTCACAGCGACAGCCAACTTAGAATTTCAGCCTCTGGAGGCTATTTTTAGATAGATGCAAAGAAGTCCTATCATTGAGTCCCCTAGAGACGTGCACCTGGTGCTCTTTTGACAACTCCATTTGATCATTCCACACATAGTGTCCATTTCCTAATTATTTCTCAATCCGTTCAGTTTCAATAAGTTGACAGGAGTCATCACCAAAGTTATATAATTTCAGAACTGTGAAGGACTTTAGAAATCACCTAGACTTACAACATTGCCTGATTTTAGCAGTGAGTAAACAGAGGCCAGAAATGGAAAATTAAATTGACATAGATATTTCAATATGGTTTTGGTGCCACAGAATAGGACCCAGGGCTTCTGTTCTATTTCCACATGATTGTAAACAATCAAATAATTTCATTTGAGAACACTAAATAAAGGAATCAATACAATTTGAGAAGTTGATGAGAAAAGAGTGTGACATAGGTAAGGAGGTCTAAATAGACAGGGATTATTGTGTGTGATATACTTATAGCTATAGGGTTCCTTTAAGGTCACTGGGTCTTCAGCTCAACCATGTAAATTATGGGAAACATTGCCATATAATCCTCCAAAATGCTGTTCTTACTGCCCTAATCAGTGAAGATGGTATTGAGTTGAGCCCCAATACCATGGTGGGGGTAGGTATCATAGGACATATCTATGGGAACATCATAGCAAGGGGTACCAGCCTGATAGGGAGCTGAATGCACATGCCCTGAGCTCAGACTTGCAGAGGGGTAATGTGGTATGAAGCTGTAGGATTTATCCAAGTCAGGAGAGCCTTCTTGCTTCAAGGAGAAGTTCCCACTGATGCTCAGGGGTGGAGTAAGTGGGCCCTCATATGGTGGTGTGCTGCAGTCAGGTGGGTGACCCCCAAAGGATGATTCGCCCAAACTCTTGAATACTGGGGGTTTGAGATTAATAAGACGGGTTTCCATATGGCCATAAGGAGGGCTGGGGAGCCCAGGAGACTGATAGTTGAAGTTGTGGACAGAGATGGCAGAGATGGCAGAGTCACAAATAGGAGATTTCTCCTCATGTTTCTCCAGGAGGACAGATTGAGGGCCCAGTTGGAGGCATCCAGCCACCAAGTTGCTTGTGGGCTGAGAGAGCCCTTTACAGAGCATCTCCACAAAGCCCTTCCCTTCAGGCGTCTGGCCAGTTTCCAGGACCTCAGACAAAGCCCAAATATAGTTCCTGGCCAGTCTAAGAGTCTCTATCTTGGAGAGCTTTTGGGTCTTAGAGTAACACGGCATGACTCTCCTTAGGTTGTCCAGGGCATCATTCAGGCCGTGCATCCGGGTTCGTTCTCTAGCATTTGCCTTGACTCTTCGAGCCCTGAATCTCTCAAGGCGAGCTTTTGTCATCTTCTTTTTCTTGGGACCCCTTCTCTTAGGCTTCTCCCCATCCTCTTCCTCTTCCTCTTCTTCCTCAATACTGTCATGCTCTTCAACTAAGCTGCCAAGAATCCCATAAGCAGCTGGTTTTCTCTCCTCCTCCTTCATCTCATTCTGAGAGCCCAGACTTTTGTCCATCCAGGATGGCGTGTTGACCAACTCTGTCATGTCTTTGGGTTTCACATAAGTTTTTGCCATTTCCAGATTCTGTAAAAGGAAACAGCAATGTTTAGCACCTGTGCATATCTGATTTGATTTAAAACTAAATTTTCTTTTTATGCCTTGGAAATAAAGCACAGTATTTGTATTGGGATTCAACTTATAATTATCTAGTCCAAGTCTTCCATTCTAAATAAATAACCTAAGACTCAAATAAATGCCTAGGCCACTCATTTAGCTATGGCATATTATAAGAAAATCAACGATAGAAAAAGGAAATTTACTTGATT